AAGAGTTAAAAAGTGGAAACTCAAAACTGTTTTTTCCATCTTCTGGCCCTTTTCCCAAAGCTCAATGTTTATAATATGTTTTAGTTTAACCCCAGAAAACAAACCACGTACGGCGAATTCTGTTTGTTTTCCCAATCAGACAAAGGGTTTTTCAAGAAATCAAGGAACAGCACCCTGAAATTTTGACCCCCCAACCCCCAAATTTTTAAACAACTCCCGCTCTCTGAAGAAATGGTAAACACTTCCGGGGAAAAAACTGCCTGCTACTGTTTTGAAAAAAAAGGGCTCAAAAGGGGGTGGAAACTTGTGCACATAAAAAAAAAACGCACAAAAAAACAATGCAGAAAACACTCGTTTTTTTTGGTGGGGAAATTTGTAAAAACTCCACTGTGCATGAAACCAAGTTTAAAAGGGTTCCCCCGGCTTCAGAACTTCTAAAAACCTTTTTCCCGTGACTGTATATTTTGTATATAAAATATGAAAAATAGTAATAAAAAAAACATTTCAATATCTTTTGGGGGGTTTGAAAAAATTTTCCCCTGTAAACAAAATAATACAACAGTTTTTACAACCCCTTTTATTGTGTAGTATTAAAAAAGAAATAACTTAAAAAAAATACTGATCATTTGGCCTCAGAGGCCAAAAAAGTTACTCAAAAAAGAAAAATTGAAAAATAATTGAAAATAGTACATAAAAAAGTAAATAGAAAAAAAAACCCGGGTGACGAAATTTCGGCGATGTTACCATATTTTTTCCCAATTTTTTGGGTTTCACGCCTCCAATCTGGGTAAGAAATTGACTTAAAAATTTTTTTGTTTGCCTAAAATTGTTTAAAAAAAAAAAAACCATTTTTTCATAAAAAAAAAATATTTTTTTTTTTTTTTTTTAAAATTTTTGGCCCCAACCCTGAGAACGTTTTTTTGGGAGAGGGCCTGCCCGACCCTCAAAGGGTTAAAAGGCTTGGGTGGGCATACATAGTGGGGAAAAGGGCTTTGGTGAGGCGGGCCCTTTTTTGGGCCCCACAAAGCAGCTGAAAAATATGTGCAGGAATTCAAGGAGTACAATAAAAAACCTAAAGGGACTGAAACCTAAAACAAGGGTTTAATTGTGTGAAAAAAGGGCCCTTTTTTTTGGAAAAGAAAAATGCCAAGCAGGTCCACATTACTCGGGAGGAAAAGGACTCCCAGGACAAAAAGCCTATGAAAGACAGGCTTACTCTGTTGATGTGTTTCAATGCCCACTGGTGATTGGGAAAGTGAAGCCCTTTATTAGTGTATCACTCGAAACTCCCAGACCGTTCAGGCCCAAAAAAATTTTCCTCAAAGGGAAAATTTTTGGTTTTGTCTGTGGAGGGAAAATTTAAAGGGATGGGTTTAACTAGGGGGCTTTTTTTATTACGGTTTTCAAACCCTTTTCTTTGCCCCCAATGTGAAAGATTAAAACCCAAGGGGTGAAAAAGAAATTTAAAAATTAAGTTTTCCTCCTTTGGGGTTTTGACAAAGCCCCTGGTCATCCTAAAAGACGTGGCAGAGGGGGACCCTTTTAAAGGGGCAATAAAATTTTAATTTAATTTAAGTTTTTTGGGCCCCTAATAATCCAACCTCCCTCACCAGCCCATGGACCACGGTTATTGCAAAATTCAAAAAACTGTACAACAAAACCTGTTTTTAAAAAGGGGCCCTTTTTAGTTACCCAAAAACTCCAAAATGACTCAAAAGACTTTTTGGGGAATCACTTTTAATAACCTCATTGTGTAAACCCTTTTAGGTAAAAGGGTTTTGGGGGGGAGTGAAAAAAGAACCTTTAACTTTTGCTTGGAAAAACGGGGCCCGAAGTGTAGACCAAAGGGGTTTTGAAGGTTTCAGGGTTTAAACCCGGAGAAACCTATGCCATTTTAGGAATCCATTAAAGGGCAATGGGAAAGGGCCTTGGGGTTTGGGGGGTTAGGGGGATGATGTGAAGAGTTTGGTTTGGGGGACAATGAAGAACTAAAACCCCTGATGGGGCTGATAGATCAACTTCAACAGCAAAAAAGGGCCAAAACCCAGGGGAAAATGGTTGAAGGGGGGCGAGAAAATTGGAAAAAAATTGGCCCACCCACAAAGATTAAGGAAATCTGTGCAAAGTGGCTTGAAAATGCAAAACCCTTTTGGTTTGGGTGAAAATCCCCCCCTTTCACACAGCTATTGCAACTGTGCTGGTGACTATTTTCACGACAATTTTTTGTTAAACACTTTTTGGGAAAATCTAAAGGGGAAAGAGAGGTAAAAGGCCACAAAGGACAATATGTTGTGCGACAGAACTTAAATGAAATCTGAAGCGGGTCCTAGTGGGTTAAAAGAAGAAGGGGAATTTAACCCCCCCGAAAAGGGGCTTACAACCCCCAAGTCCCCTTTAAAGGAAGGGGGTTTTCCCCCTTTTAAACACAAAAACTCCCCCCCTCCTCCCATCCCATCAATTTAACACCAAAACCCAATAAAAGTAAGGTCAAGTAATTGTGCATTCCTTTTTCAGTTTGTGGGGATTAAAATTAAAAATTTCCCTGTGGTAAAATTTTTTTTTTTTTTTAAAACTTTGGGGTGTCCTTGCAGGATTAATTTGATTTCCATTATTTTATTTTTTAAGAGGGTAACAAAAAAAATTTGGTTTATGAAAGAAATTTAATTTTCAGTTGGGGGGGAGAGATTTTGGAAAGGGGGGAACGTATTCAAAATAAATTTTTGGGGTGGAAAATTTTCAGCGGGTTTGGGGCTTTTGAAAGATGGGTTTAATCATAGAAAAATTGGGGGTAAAGGGAAAAAAAATGAGTGGGGGGCACTTAGGGGTCGTGGAGAAAAAAAGAACTTTGTCCTTGGGGGCAAAAAAGGGGAAGTAAAGAGATATATTTTTTAAAAAAAACCCCAAAGCCTTATATGGGTGAAGCGTGGGGGATGAATGTTCAAACGAGGGAAGGTGGAGGGATGGAGATTCTTTTCCAAAGGGGAATGGGTGGGTTAATATAATGCAGAGAATTCGTATTTTTTGGGAAATTAGGAGGAGGTGGGGGGATTTTCCAAAAATGTTTTTCCAGAGGGCTGAAGGGAAAGGGTTTTTGAGGTTTTGGTTTGGAAAATGTAAAAGAGAAGGAGCGAAACAGAATGACTTCAAGAGTGTATCCCGTCTGTAATGGGAAGGGAAAGGGGGGGTGGGGGAGGGCCTAGGAAGGGTTTTGGGGGGAGGGGGGGGGTAAAGGAGGTTTTTTTGGGGCAGGGGGCTTTGGGCTTCCCCGCCCGGCTTGGGGTGAGCGGGTTTTTTAGGAGTGAATGGAGACAAAAAGGTTTTTTTAAAATTGGACGTCTTTGGAAAAAAGGGGGGTTTTAGCAAAGTAACATTTATGAAGGGGTTCAAGGGGAAAAACCCCCGGAAGGGGGGGGGGTTATTGGGGGTCCTGGGAGGGAAGTACAGTGCCTGCACTCCGAAAGGAAGGGGGGTTAATGTTTGCAGTTTAAAAAAAAGTAGTGTAAAGAAACCCTTTTGGCAAGGGCAGTGATGGAGTGAAAAGATGGGAAAATTTTTTTTTGGCCCCCCCCTTTTTTTTTAAATTTTTTTTTTTTTTTTTTCTTTGGGTTTTTTTTTATTTTCTTTTTTTTTTCTTTGTTTTTTTTTTTTTCTTTTTTTATTTTGGGGGCCAAAACCCCCCTTTGGTAAATTGGGGTTTTTGGGGGAATTCGGCCCGGGGTAAAAAAAAAATTCAAAACTTAATGGGGGAAAAATAGCAAAAAATTTATTACAAAATGGCCCCTTAGGGTTTTCCCTTTTGGGGCCCCTCCTTTCTGGGAAATGGGGGGGGCCCCCAAGGGAAAAAAGGGTTTGGTTACGAAAATTTTTGGGGTTTGGGCACCATTTTTAAATGAAGGCCAAAAACCGGTGGGAATTTTAAAAAGGGACCCAAAAAAACCAAAGAAAAAAGGGGCAAAAACAAAAAAAAAAGTTTCCCCAAAAAAAAATAGGGCATACAAAACCGAGGTTTGAAATGTATTGTACAAAATTTAAAATTTAAATTATCCCAAAACCCGAAAAGGACAGTCTTTGATTTTAACATCTAACCAAAGGGTGGAAAATTTTTAACTAATGAAAATGCCAAATACATGTAAAATAAAAAATCCTTTTCCCGGGATCCTAGGGAAAAATTTTTTTATGCAAAAAGGGGCATTGTGTACGTAATAATTATATTAAAAAAAAAATGTAAAATATGGTTTTTATTATATGGAGTTAGGTCCCGGCCAAAAAAATTTGGAGGCTTACAGATTTGAAGTTTAAAAAGTAAAAAAAGATGTATCCAAAAGCATAAAACCGTTTAAAAACACAAAAAGTTTTCGTATAAAAAGAAATGGGAGTTTTGTATAAAAGCAAGTGGAATTTACGTAAGCAAACAAGTTACAAGTGACTATTACCTTTTTAAAATTTTCTTTTTAAAAAATTTTAAAATGAGAGCAGAGGAAATCCAGGGGGCCCTTGGGCCTGAACCTTTTTATGGGGGCTTTCCCCACCCACTGAAAGATTCTAACACCTGGCTCTTAACTCAAGATTTTCACACACACAAGTGACACTATAAAATCGTATAGACCGTCTGTCGAGAACATATGCCAGCCTGGTGATGAGTATTACGGTTATAATCAAGAGTCATACACCAGCCTGGAGGTACTGTAACACTTCAAACTTCCACCAGCAGTAACCACCACTACCACCAGCAGTAACCACCACTACTACCACCAGCAATAACCACCACTACCACCAGCAGTAACCAGCAGCAGCCAAGCCGCTAGTGTTACGTCAGCTGAGGGAGAGTCAATGAACCTGCAGCAGCTGTGACGTGGGTCCTGCCACAGGACTCCCCTACCCTAGGACTCCCCTGCCTCCTGGCAATAACACCCCCTGCTGCACCCTACAAACCCCTGCCTCACCTCAAACCCTAAATAACTCGCCCAATAAGGCGTATGACACCATATTCCCTCAATTACCTGAACCTTCTTCTTCACCTTCCTCTTCTCAGCCATGGTTGAGTATTTGTTGTCATAAACTGAGCATCTCTATCCATTATAATTTCCATTTATTTATTTTCTCTTCTTAAGAAGAGTATTTCCGGGAAAAATATTTACATTATGTTACTACTCCAAATTTGTTGCTGGCTTAATTAATTGAGAGAGAAATAATTTTGTTATAAAATAGTTTGTGTGTTGGAGAGATCTCCGGAAGTGATAAATGACATGTGGCAGGGCTGCCATATAGCGCTAATTCCTTGCCAGGTAGCATTAATTCTCTGCCAGGCAGCGTTAATTCTCTGCCATGTAGCGTTAATTCCTTGCCAGGTAACAATAATTCTCTGCCAGGCAGCGTTAATTCTGTCAGGTAGCGCTAATTCCTTGCCAGTTAGCATTAATTCTCTGCCAGGCAGCGTTGATACCTTGCCAGGTAGCGTTAATTCTTTACCAGGTAGCGTTAATTCTCTGCCAATCAACGTTAATTCCTTGCCATGTAGAGTTAATTTCTTGCCAGGCAGCGTTAATTCCTTACCAGGTAGCGTTAATTCCTTGCCAGGCAGCGTTGATTCCTTCCCAGGTAGCGTTAATTTCTTGACAGCTAGCGTTAATTCTTTGCTAGGTAGCATTAATTCTCTGCCAAGTAACGTTAATTCTCTGCCAAGCAGCATTAATTCCTTGCCAGGCAGCGTTAATTCCTTGCCAGGTAAAGTTAATTCTCTGCCAGGCAGCGTTAATTCCTTGTTAGGTAGCGTTAATTCCTTGCCAGGTAGCGTTAATTTTTGCCAGGTAGAGTTAATTCTCTGCAAAGCAGCGTTAATTCCTTGCCATTATTATTATTATTATAATCAAAAAGAAGCGCTAAGCCACAAGGGCTATACAGCGCTGCAGGGTAGGGAAGGAAGCGAGGGTATTGGATGGCAGAAGGGAGGAGGGATGATCAGTAGGTTACAGAAAACAGCGGGGCAGGGGATAGTACGGGGGTAGGGGGTAGCAAGAGATTGAAGTAGAAAGGGCTGAAGGTATCAGAATTTGTGAAGTAAGTCAGTTGTTGTCAAAAAGTCAATGAGAGAGTCTGGATGAAAGGTGGGTCCATCAGCGAGAAGGGAAGGTAAAGAGAGAGCAGCAGAGCGAAGACGACGACGGAGGTAAATTCTGCGTGCTCGTTGATAAAGTGGGCAGTCCAACAGAATGTGGCTGACTGATAATGGAACTTGGCAATTCTCACAGAGAGGAGCAGGGCGCCTCTCCATGAGATATCCATGAGTAAGACGAGTATGGCCAATGCGAAGACGGGAGAGAGTAGTCTCCCAACCTCGACACTGGTGATAAGAAGACAGCCAGTAACCTATACTCGGTTTAATAGATTGAAGTTTGTTGCCGAGCATAGTAGACCAACGTTGTTGCCAACGGGTGTGAAGTTGGGAAGATATTGCAGCAAAATAGTCCGTAAATGGAATACCTCTACATGAAACTGGTAGGTCATGTACTGCTGACCACGCAGCAGTGTCTGCCTGTTCATTGCCCTGTACGTCAACATGACCAGGGACCCAACAAAAACAATATCTTTATGCTTGGTAAAGATGCGGCGTAGCCAAAGTTGGATACGGAGGACTAAGGGGTGAGGTGTATCAAATTTCTGTATGGCCTGTAAAGCACTAAGGGAGTCTGAGACACCCACAAATAATGACACAGGCATAGATGCAATATGGATAAGTGCTGTAAGGATGGCATACAATTCAGCAGTAAAAATACTAGCCGAAGATAGTAAATGCCCTTGTACGACGCTGTCCGGAAACACTGCTGCGAATCCTACGCCATCAGAAGACTTAGAGCCATCTGTGTACACAGCAATGGCATGAGAATGAGAGTGAAAGTGGTCAAGAAAAAGAGAGCAGGAAGCGGCCGTAGACAGTTGGGCTTTCGAGCAAGGGAGAGAGAAAGAACAGACTCGAACAGCTGGAACTTCCCAGGGGGGTAGGGAAAAGAGAGATGCTACATGTACATAGAAAGGTGGTAATTGAAGAGAAGACAAGAGTGAATGAAGGCGAAGAGAGAAGGGACGGAGTAAACAGGGGCGGCGAACAAATAAAGAATGTCTACTAATATCAGTGACCATTCTATAAATGGAAGGATTGCGGAGATCATGAGAGCGTACATAGTAGCGAAGGCAATGGGCATCATGGCGATCGGATAAGGATGGAACGTTCGCTTCTGCATAGAGGCTCTCAACAGGGGAAGAGCGAAAAGCACCAAGGCATAAACGTAATCCTTAGTGATGAATGGGGTAAAGGCTAGAGAGAGTAGCAGGAGATGCCGCTGAATAGATCTGGTCACCATAATCAAGTTTCGATAAGATAAGGGTGGAATGTAGGCGAAGGAGGGTTCGACGATCAGCTCCCCATGAAAGATGAGCAAGGGTTTTAAGAAGGTTCAGCCGGCTGTGGCAAGTTGCCTTCAGAGAGGTAATGTGAGGTTTCCAGGATAACCTACGATCAAAGAGGAGGCCCAGAAACTTGACTGTATCACGTTCAGGGATACGGGAGCCATAGAGGTACAAAGAATGATCGGAGATGACAGAGCGTCTAGTAAAAGTAATTTGGTGGGTTTTAGTGCTGGAAAATTTAAACCCACGTGTGGTGGCCCAATTGGAAACACGGTCGACTGCATGCTGGAGAGAAACTGTAATAAGGTGACAGTCAGCGCCTGCACAGGCAATAGCGAAGTCATCAACATAGAGTGATGACCAAATATTTGATGGAAGACTAGAGGCCAAATCATTAATAGCAAGGAGAAAAAGTGTTGTGCTCAGAACACATCCCTGGGGGACACCTTCAGCTTGGATAAAGTCCGGGGAGAGCACATTATTAACCCGAACACAGAAATGCCTGTCAGTTAAAAAGTTCTTAAGGAAGGATGGTAGATTGCCTCGAAGGCCTAAGGAGTGGGCTTGGGCTAAAATATTATACCTCCAAGTTGTGTCATATGCCTTCTCAAGGTCAAAAAATATGGCAATAACTGAGTGGTTATTCGCAAAGGCATTATGAACATACGTATCCAAGTGTAGTAAGGGGTCTATGGTAGAACGTCCCTTACAAAAGCCATATTGACAAGTGGAGAGACTGTTGTGTGTCTCTAAATACCACACTAAACGTCTATTTAGTAGGCGTTCCATCACTTTGCAAACTGCACTGGTAAGAGCAATGGGACGATAGTGGGAGGTTTCATGTCCCATAGTGCCTGGTTTGCGGAAAGGGAGAACAATGGCGGATTTCCACAGCTGTGGAAGAACTCCTTGTGACCAATTGAACATTAAAATGGTATAAAATACCGACAGGTTGTTAGGTAAGACACATATGCAACAGTTAGGTATCTTTATTATGAAACGTTTCGCCTACACAGTAGGCTTCTTCAGTCAAGTACAGAAAAGTTGATAGAAGCAGAAGATACTTGAAGACGATGTAATCAGTCCACCACCGTTAAAGTTTTGAGGTGGTCAGTCCCTCAGTCTGGAGAAGAGCATTGTTCCATAGTATGAAACAATATGGAGATGAAGTGACAGGATGGAGCTTTTTATAGCGCCAAGAGGTGAGACGTAGGCCACTAGGAGAGGTAAGAACTCAGATGCTGAGAGGTCAGGTCCCTCTCAAATCCAGCCGCTCTCACTAGTGGAAGTTGTCGAAGTTGATTGCAGGTCTGTACCAAGATACCCTTGTGTTGCAGTGTCTGACAGATTGAACATTAAAATGGTATAAAATACCGACAGACACTGCAACACAAGGGTATCTTGGTACAGACCTGCAATCAACTTCGACAACTTCCACTAGTGAGAGCGGCTGGATTTGAGAGGGACCTGACCTCTCAGCATCTGAGTTCTTACCTCTCCTAGTGGCCTACGTCTCACCTCTTGGCGCTATAAAAAGCTCCATCCTGTCACTTCATCTCCATATTGTTTCATACTATGGAACAATGCTCTTCTCCAGACTGAGGGACTGACCACCTCAAAACTTTAAGGGTGATGGACTGATTACATCGTCTTCAAGTATCTTCTGCTTCTATCAACTTTTCTGTACTTGACTGAAGAAGCCTACTGTGTAGGCGAAACGTTTCATAATAAAGATACCTAACTGTTGCATATGTGTCTTACCTAACAACCTGTCCGTATTTTATACCATTTTAATGTTCAATCTGTCAGACACTGCAACACAAGGGTATCTTGGTACAGACCTGCAATCAACTTCGACAACTTCCACTAGTGAGAGCGGCTGGATTTGAGAGGGACCTGACCTCTCAGCATCTGAGTTCTTACCTCTCCTAGTGGCCTACGTCTCACCTCTTGGCGCTATAAAAAGCTCCATCCTGTCACTTCATCTCCATATTGTTTCATACTATGGAACAATGCTCTTCTCCAGACTGAGGGACTGACCACCTCAAAACTTTAAGGGTGATGGACTGATTACATCGTCTTCAAGTATCTTCTGCTTCTATCAACTTTTCTGTACTTGACTGAAGAAGCCTACTGTGTAGGCGAAACGTTTCATAATAAAGATACCTAACTGTTGCATATGTGTCTTACCTAACAACCTGTCGGTATTTTATACCATTTTAATGTTCAATCTGTCAGACACTGCAACACAAGGGTATCTTGGTACAGACCTGCAATCAACTTCGACAACTTCCACTAGTGAGAGCGGCTGGATTTGAGAGGGACCTGACCTCTCAGCATCTGAGTTCTTACCTCTCCTAGTGGCCTACGTCTCACCTCTTGGCGCTATAAAAGCTCCATCCTGTCACTTCATCTCCATATTGTTTCATACTATGGAACAATGCTCTTCTCCAGACTGAGGGACGACCACCTCAAAACTTTAAGGGTGATGGACTGATTACATCGTCTTCAAGTATCTTCTGCTTTATCAACTTTTCTGTACTTGACTGAGAAGCCTACTGTGTAGGCGAAACGTTTCATAAAAGATACCTAACTGTGCTATGTGTCTTACCTAACAACCTGTCCGTATTTTACCTTTTAATGTTCATCTGTCTGACACTGCAACACAAGGTATTTGGTAAGGACCTGACATCAATTCGACAACTTCCACTAGTGAGAGCGGTGGATTTTGAGAGGGACCTGACCTCTGCATCTGAGTTCTTACCTCTCCTAGTGGCCTACGTCTCACCTCTTGGCACTATAAAAAGCTCCATCCTGTCACTTCATCTCCATATTGTTTCATACTATGGAACAATGCTCTTCTCCAGACTGAGGGACTGACCACCTCAAAACTTTAAGGGTGATGGACTGATTACATCGTCTTCAAGTATCTTCTGCTTCTATCAACTTTTCTGTACTTGACTGAAGAAGCCTACTGTGTAGGCGAAACGTTTCATAATAAAGATACCTAACTGTTGCATATGTGTCTTACCTAACATTCCTTGTGACCAAATAAGATTGTAAAGGCGTAATAGGACTGCAAGGGCTGACTGATGTAAATGTTGTAGCATACGAATATGAATGTCGTCGGGCCCAGCTGCCGATGATCAGCAAGCTGAGAGTGTTGCCTCCAGTTCTTGAAGTGTAAAAGGCACATTATACTGTTCTTCTCTGAGAGAAGAAAAGTCCAAGGGTGCTAACTCT